ATATCTCCTGTGATAAAAACCAAATCAATTGTGGAATCTTTCGCAATTTTTTCACATAAACTTAATAATTTGTGCTTTGACATGAAAGGTCCCATGTGAACATCTTTGAAATGTCAGAAATCTTTTGAAAATTAATTTCTTACCTGTCAATTGGAAAATTCTTATTATTTTGGACTCATCTTGATGAATTTCAATATTTGTTTCCAGCTCTGTTACTTCGTCTCCACAATCTTGTCTGTCACTTGTCGCATCAATGTGAACTATTTCTTTACAATATGAAGGGCTGGCAGCTGAAATATAAAGTGAATGCAGAGAAATTGCCAAAACACTTGAATTAATTATCAAACTATCCAATCTTCTATTGAAAAGTAATACAGGAGGAACAAATGAAAGTCCAAATAAAATTGGCGAAACTAAACTTCCTAATGCGGAATATACAAGATACCAAGCTGAAGGTACACTAATCAAATACGTATACCAAGCTGGTTTAATTTCTTCCAAAATACCAATAAGAAATTATTTGTCACTCCAGCCGAAAGAAAATACACATGAATAAACCAAGGAAATATTGGAAAGTTACCGAAACCATTACAATAAACATTAGAAAAGAACAGTTGAGCTGCTCCGAGTGCATAGAAGAAGCCAGCAATTTTTTGTCGTTTGACTTTCGAATAGACAAAGGGAAGAACAAGTCCCAACAGTGAAACAGAAAAATAGATTGAAGAGGTGCCAATTCTTTCTAATTGCATTTTTTTAATGTAAAGTTTTTGATTTGTGAGTGCACTTCCAAAATCCGAAATCTTTCTATTTGCTTTCAATAATTCTTCTAAAGATTAAAGATCTGAATGGAAAAGATTTTCAAATTATTGAGTGAGAATGTCAGGAGAAAGTAAATTCTTGACACCTTCAACACGTCCTCTCGTATCTGGGAAATATTTAACTCTTGCTGAGACACTTCCATCAACATCCACAATGACAGGATAGTGCATTAAATGAGAACGCATTGGTCTGAATTCCTCTGATGTATATCGTTCCCAATTGTCCTCAGCAACTTCATCGATTCTTCGTTGTGTGAAAAGATCGAGTGGATCTTCCCAATTATTACATTCACTGCATTCTCCTAAATGTTCGATAAAGAGATTCTTTCTGAAATTCTTAATTTCTGAAGGTTGTTGTGAGTCAGTTTCGGATTTTGATTGGAAAGCACCAATGGAAATTTCAGAATCTCGATCACCTGACATTGATCTTTCATTGATATTTGCAGATCCAACAATAATGTATTCATCATCGAAAATTGCCATCTTGGAGTGTACGTAAATCATTGATCGTTGAGCTTTCAATAATTTGTACTGAGGCGATCCCTTAGTGAGTCCTTCCAATTTCTCATTCACATTTTCACACTCCTCACGAGTTCCCAAACAGAAGAATTTCAAATAATCTGTTGGACGATAGCTCTTCATTTGTGTCTTTTCAATCATTTCTCCAATAATTTTGTACATGCTACAAATGGTACTGTAGGTAAAGAAGATTTGTTCTTGTTGGAATTGATTTTCTGGTGAATTCATTCCATCAGGGCTTTGCATATTTCCAATTTTAAATCCGAGTAGAAATTACAATTACTTACAATAATGGCTAATTGAATTTAAAGGTCAAAAGAAAAATTAATGAAAAACTACTTACAATAACAACAAATACAGTAAATGGCTCATTAGATTGAATCTTTTCATGAATCTTTTCCAATAATTCGTGTGGAATTCTATTATTCATAGTTTGAGCATCCAATCTATTGCTCCACAAAAAGGCGCTTCCACAAAAGTATTGATTTTCAATATAAATGAAACGTTGAGCCTTTTGAATGAGACTAATGTAAGCTTCTTGGATACGAGGGAAAACAGTATATGAATTGGTGAAGGGTCTAATTGAATCGGAATCACAAGATCTGAACACTTGAACGCACCAAGGATTTTCCTTGAAATTTTCAACATAGGTTGGTCGTTTAGGCAATGAAACATAACCTAGTTGAGTAGTCCAACGTTCTTCAAAGTTTTGTAAAATATCATAAGCACATTTTCCTTCAATCATTGCATGAATATCGTGCCATGGTTGTCTTGGTCCAAGTTTCTTATTTTCCAAAGGTCTTGAAGAATAGACTTCATCCTTGTGATATGTTTCGAGAGTGCTGAATAGGGAATGTGATGGAGAGTCATATCTTCCCTTTGTTAAATCCAATCCACCCACAAATGCAACAATTGATCTCTTCTTCTTTTCTGGAACATATTTATCGCAAATGAGAGTTTTCTGATGGTGAGAGAAAACTAGACCACTATAGCCGGATCTTCTTGACAGAATGGCTACTACTCGAGTATTTCTAAAATAATTGATAGCCTCTCCATCACCAGTGTCCATATTTGAGGCAATATTACTACCAGTTTCATTCCACAATATGAGAAAAACAGAAACTCCTTCATTTGCCTTATCGATCAATAATTCGCCAAGGGTTCTACTCTCCTTTGGATCATCACTATCTCTCTTGAGTCTAATATTTGGATTCAAGGACCAACCGGTAATGTAAATAATTTGCTTGGCATTTTCCATGGCATCATACATGTCTGAGAAACAATTTCTTCCATTGAATCCACCTTGTGCATCCTGGTAGAGAGTTACTTTGCAATTCTTTTGGAGTGGAAACCAATCTCTATAGGGTGTAATTTGTTTCAGGAGATCAGATCCATAATCGCTATCGTCCAAATCCCTCATTCCTCTTTCTGCTAATTTTTCCAATTTTTCCAATTTTTCCAAAATTCCTTCTTCTCCTTTGAGTTTTCCTTGTTTTTCTAATTGAACATATTTTCCAATCTTTCTGAATAAATCGAATGGATATTGATTTTGTTTCTCATTCAGTAGTTTTCTCTTGTATTTGACAAGTGTTGGATCCTTATCCTCCTCCTTAACATCCAAAAAAACATCTGACTTTGTTATTGGGGCCAATGATGATTCCAGTTTCAACCGTTGCTTCTTTATGTGAATGGGTGTAACCTTATTGTAGAAGGGCATTAAAGAAAATTGAGGAATATCAAAACTGAATGAAACTGGAACAGAGTAGAATCTTGCCAATGTTGTCTCTAGAATGTGACCATCCAACACAGAGGCCGTCAATTTAGGGAACAAGTGCACTAGAATCCAATCTCCAAAATATAAAACAATCGATCCAAATATTACAGATATTAAAATATTGTAAAATATTACAATATTCAAAATTTCCTTAAACCAAATAATCCAAGCATGAATTTGAATTCCAAGAATTATAATAAAAGGTAGGAAAATAATCGTTGGCCATCTCGAAAATCTAAAGAAATTCAACACGACATCTCTGAAATAAATTAAAATCACAAAAAAGTAAACAATAAAGTGAGGTAAATGTCTAAAGAATGATTTGACAGACTTTTTAACATCCTTGGCATGAATATTCTCAATGGTCTTTCCAGGATGTTTTGCAATCTCCTTGATTTGTCTCTTAATATTATCCTTTCTCATTGAATATCCGAATTTAACCAACTTTTCAGTCGTCTTATTTCTAATCTCATTGGGACGAGGTGATCGGAAGAGTCTCCTCTTCTTCAATTGCAAAACTTCTCTTCTCTCCTTTTCGGAAGCAGTCGGAGGAAGATATAACGGCACACTCTGATACACTGATAGAGTATCACTATTAGTTGTCGTCGATTCATCGACATCAAAGAGTGATGATGTATTGTGTTTCCTCGAACTTGCAACAAATTCATTCAAGCTAGTGCTCATCGGATTGATGGGAGTGGAGGGAGAGAATTTTCTACTGCCATGATGATGATGGTGATGATGATTGTTATTATTATAATTGTAGTAATATTCTGATGAGTCACTGTCTGAAGAATCGGAGGTTAATTGGACAGAATCGAGAGAAAGTGATTTTTTCATTTTTTTTGTAATGGAATTTAATGTTGTAAGCTTGTTGAAGTTTTGGCTAGAGGTTAATACTTTAATATTATAACGTCAAATAATTGTAAATATTAAGATAAATTGATCGTTTGCTATTAAAAAATTAATAAAAAACGGAAATTAAGCAAAAAAAAATATTCAACATGTTGTTCTTCAATGGTGTTGCTGATTCTCGGAATAATTTTACATGAGGAAACTCTGAGACTTTTGCACCATCATTTCAACATTCATGTTCATAGTATTAATAGTATTAATAGTAATAGTAATTTTACAAGTGGATTATTCGGAGGATGATTCATCATGATGCAAACCAACAATCATCATCAATGTTATTATTCCACCATAATAATAATAATAACACTATTAGTATTAAGCAATATTTATTCTACATCTGCATCAAATACTGCTAGATATTCTAATTTCATATCTCTAAGGCATTTTCCTTTTCCAAAATAACAAAAAGCGTTGCCTCTTACATCTAATCTTTTCAAACTCTTCATTTCCTATTATCACAAACAGAAAAGTAAGCCAAGTTGTGCAGTTTACAGACGATTTTCAATTTTCAATGTTGAAACATACTGAAAAAATATTTCAACATCTTGATGATTCTTCGAGTGGTTTCACATCTGTAAGCTGCCAAACTTTCACATCATCATCTCAACATCATCTAAATAGTAGTAATAGTAGTAATTTTTATTATTGGACTTTCATCATAAAATAGTAAATCAATTTTTGGATTATAATTTTTCAAGTTGGTAAACCATCATCGGAACACTCACCAACCGTCATCATAGATATATTTAATATAGTAGAATAGTATGGGTGATTTCTATGTCTTGGAAATATCTTTATTTTGGTGAAACTCAACATTTTACTTTAAAAAGTACATGTACTTCACCAACTTGGAAACTTTCTTCTAGTACTATTGTTTAAATCACTAATAAACACCATATTTATTATCAGTTTTTCATTATTTTATGTTTTGGCTTGGAGAGAGATTTCCAAACCTTTTTTGATTCACTCCTTCAAGAGTGATTCAAAAATTATCAAACTCATTGTGAACATATTTCAAAGATAACCAACTTTTTCAACATCTACAAGATAGGGATCACACTCATATCAATTTTTTTGGTATGGTTCGAGCCTCAGTTTCTTTAATAAATACAAGACGTAGAATTCTGGAATGTTTCTAGTTGATGTACACAAATCATTGCAATATCCATGGAAAGAAACACTGGAAATGAGTATAAGAGATTCTGGAGTTACACAATTGGCTGATCAGGATGTGCTCAATACTCTCGATAGAAAAACGAATGGAACATGGTTTCATGAAATGTTATTGGAAGATTGTCATAATTATGTGGGGGTGGGTGGGTCGTGAAAAAAGGATGTCCATAATTACGTGGTCCAGAGTGGGTCAGAAAGTAGAGCAGAGCAAAAACAAAAATTGGCAAAAGTAGAGCCGAAGGTTTATTAGCCAAGAGTGAGACAGCGTTCAAAGTATCAATTATCACTTGTTCTGCTAGCAACAAGTACTTCTGGGTTCTTGATTGTTTGTGTACCAACAACTTTGGGTAGGCATTCATCTAGATTGTTATGGTTGAATGTGCTATGGCTGATGTGGAAGGAAGCAAAGGGAGAACTCTCCTCCTGGTGGTACTGATGAAGGTTGGTAGTTAGCAGGGTGGTGATGAAATCATGAGTAATTGTTGTTTGTTGTTTTTTTTTGTTGAATTTATAACGGTCAGAACATTCAACTTTCAGCGGTAACATGTTTGCTGGTAGTGTGAAAAAACTCACATGCAGTGGCCAGGATTTGTTGGGACGATCTTACAGTGGGGTTGTAATTATGACAATCTTCCATTCACAACAATCCAGACACTTTCAAATCCAAATTGTGGAAATACCATCTTTCCACGACGTGAGCACTTATTTGATTGGATTGAAAATCCTAACTATACTCTTACATGTTCTTGAACTCGTATTTAACAATCTTGTGCAAGAACAAAAAAAATAATTTAGCAATTATCTATCAACATTATCCTTTTCTGTGCAATGCACTAATTCTTCATTCAACACCTCTGTTGTGAAATATTCACTAAAATCAAAAGTTATACTCTTTCTGTCTCAAAATTAAGAATGACATGAAATAATTTGATTCTGTTTAAACTTATACAGATACTCTCAAGCACATACCAGACCATCAAAACCATGAACCAAGAAGGTATCTGCATCCAAAAACAAGAAATGTGCCAATTTATGTTGAAAGTATTCAATCAACTTCTTGTTGGCAGAACGAGCACTATAATGTGTAGATTTGACATGGATAGACAAGTCTTTTGAATTATAGAATTTCAGATAAACTCTCTGACAAGAACCAAATCTCTTCACAATACAATCAATGGTATCGGTTGAATTTTTGAAAACATGTAGAGTTACATGATGAGGCCAACAGAGGAGAGGCCACTGTTTGGGAGTTTTCATAGATTACCACAACATGCATGTTGTGATGTCCAGCAGAAGATTGAGATGAAGAATTTTTAATGTTCTAATAAAAAAGTGCAACAAGTGAAAACAATTTTATAGCTCAATTGGGAAAGTTTTAATGGCAGATTTTTCTTTTTGGAGTGCATAGATTTCTCTCCATTCCAAAAATTCTGAAGTTCTCTCAAATCTGTTAAATGTTGATTTGAGATTTGCTTCCACTTCCAACATGATTTCGTCCAAAATTTGAATATTCGTCTTGGTTTCATTATTTTTCGTTACCTTTTCGAAATTATCGACATATCTTTCTCTGGCACCTGATGGAATATTGACCTCATAAGCCGAATAAGGAATTAAAAATTGTTTGTGAATTCTCTGCAAATTTTCAATTGAAATATTCTCTGATTTTCTCTTAGATTCCATAACCATCTCAATGAACATGTAATTTTCCAGAGCCAATGATTTGGAACAATAAGTTCTAAATAATTGAATCAAATCCTCATTGGTATTCTTCTTAATCATTTCAATGTAAATATCATACTTGTCCATTTTCTCATACGATTGAATCTTCTTCTTGCTTAGTGATTTCAATCGTTCCAATAGAAGAAATATCATTGAAGTTCCACCGCCAATCATGTAAATTGCCAATCCAATGCAAAACCTTAATGCTGGCACATAGGTAGGAGCACTCGCAAAGACGATTGCACCAGCAATGAGGATTATTAGTATGACCACTAGGGAGAGGAGGTCAATTCTGAAATAGTATGGATCTTCAAAAATGAAAAATCTTCTAAATCCATATTTGGAAATGATATTTCTATTTTTGAATGCATCAAAAAGTAAGAAAATAATACCAGCAATGCATGACAGTGCACAAATAAATATGACAATTAAATTATTGGTGGTATTAATTGTTGGTAAACTATAGCTCGGTATCAATATCCATATTGGTATTAGAAATAGTGCACTCACAGGAATTGGCAAGACGATTGTAAAGACGAAACCCAACGATTCACTCGCCAAATACTTTAGAAACTTGGGATGTTTCGAATTCTTTACAAAATGATACAAATTCCTCAAATAAAAGTATCTCAAAACTGTGAAAATATAAATGAATGCCATCATGCATGCGGAAAAATTGGCAAAAACAACGCCCAAGGTGACGCACGTATTGTTGAAGGCATTAAGGGTTGAGGAGAATTCACACATATTGAAAAATGTTGCAACGAAAATGATTCCATACTTTCGGTAGACCACTGGTGATTTGAAAGATCCAGAAATGAAGAGAATGGCATAGAATACGAAACCAAACGAAACTACAATGATATCCAAAGTGTCTTGCCATCCCCAACGTTCTGACACACATGAGAAGCTATCACATTTGAAACATAAGGATGACCATAATTGACTATCTATTATTGAATTTGTTAGAAATAATGGTTGGCCACCTGCTGATTCGTATCGAATAGTTGCTTGTGAAATAAATGTCATGTTATAGGAATAGTCCGATGAAATGTTAAAGTATTTGGCACTCCAATCAAATTGTTGATTTGTCATGTATAGAGATCCGTGCAGTCTTTCAAATAGTGAGCTATCATGTTCAACCGATTGTTTACAAGTCAATTGAGTCGTGTTTGTCACATTCAATAATGTTTCGAATAATTCTTGAGTAATTTGAGAAGAATCCACTTCATTCCCATCACTCTCAATGTAAAATCTTGTTGGAAAGAGTGGAATTGCGACAAAATCATTAGAATTCAACCAATCATCGCCCTCTTTCTTTCTGTTTCGTCTATGATTTCTATTTAATCGAATCCTATCCGAAAATTCACTTGATCTCCCAATCATGATATCAAAATTTTCAAAAACACTTCCAAATATACATTCAGAATTTCTTCCAAATTGAATCTGATAAAAATTCCATCTTTCTGGTATCGAATTAAACTGTTTCGTATTTATCATTCCAATCATTTTCCTCATATTAATCGTAGAAATATTATCAGTATCAAAGGAGAAGAATTTAAGTGGTTTAGATGAAGCATTACCAGAAAATAAATCATCCAGCGAATGAATTTGCAAGTCCTTCCACACAAATAGGTACAGAAAATTGTCTCCCGCCAAAATTGTTGTCTTATTCGAAAGTTGATTCGAATTGACTGGTGTTATTGTTGCATACGAGTAATTGAAGAGAAAAACAAGGAAGAACAATGTGCTCAGCGTAGGAAAAACTGTTGATGATAGGAAAGGCAAAGAGCTCTTCATGGCTTTTTTTTTGTGTCAGTGAAGTGACATATCTGACAGACGGCAACACTAGTTCACAAACGGAAAGATATTTCCATCTCTTGACAACAACATTAATCCATCACAAACACCATCCGGATTTCCATTGAAGTAGCTAAAAATTGTAATGCTTTTTGTAACCAATGTACTTTTTTTCATTGTACTTACTATGCAATGATATTACTGAAATTAAAGCCAATGCATTAATGCATTAGTAACATCATTGTTTAGAGTAATGAAACGTTTCTAGATATAGCCAATGAAGATGACAAATCTATTGGTCAACTTGACCAATAAAAATACCAGCGAATAAACAGTAGATTAGTTTTTATTAAAAGTGTGCAGAAGGGCAATTCTATTTGTGAAATGAAGTAATGGACCAATCCTGGAATGTAGGATAACCTCTTGGATGGGAAGGCGTCAAACTTAGTTGAGAATTACAAAAGTTTACAAAATTCATTTTTTGTGACTCGGAGTACTTTGATCTCCTCTATTATCTTTATGAAAAATGGAACAATTTTAAGGGAGGGTCACTCTGCTCACGGAAGATCATGAAATATTGAAAACACCAAATTTGTTTCTTTTTGTATTCTAAATATAAATAGTAATGCTCTCTATTATTAGAAATTCAATTGATTTGAAAGATTCTTAAAATCTCTCCAAAAAAAAACCTCAATTATAAGAACAACCAAGCAGAACAGTAAACTCACAACAAAGCAATCATTCAAATTAAGAGAGTACAGAGTTTCATACTTTACAACAACCGACAAAAAATTTCAAATACAAAAAATTGTAAACTGCCAAAAAGAAATGCCTGCTGTATTTTCAAAGGTAGATTCTCCAACTCTTTCTCCATACATGCCTTCATCGGCAACTTCATTTTCTCATTTCAAATCTTTGGATTATTTGCAAAGTTTACATTATTGGAAACGAATTTTACAACATTTCAAGTCGAATGGGAAAGTTTACAAAATTTTATCCCTTGCATTGATATTTAGTGGATTGGTTGGTGGTTATTATGTTAGTCAGAGACAGAAACCATCAAGGAAACGATCCATTTCTAATGAACATCAAATAGCAAATCCGAAACAGTCGAAACCTTCTACACGAAAGGAAACGAAAGAAATTCAAAACGTCTTTTTGGATTTTATGATGAACATGTATAATTTACTTCGAATAGGATTTAAAACTCCAACCAATGATGATGAAAACAAAAGTTTGAGATATCTGAAAGGAAGAAACAAATTTATTGGATTGATTGTGATGGTTTCGTCTTTGGTTGTTCTAAAGTCTGTGGTCATTTGTCGATCAAACTTTATTAGTGGAGACATGATGGAATATCTCCTATCCAAGAAGAGGGATTTATTCTTTGAAAGTTTCGTCAAGTTTCTCTTCTCAATCATCTTGCAATCTTTACTTTCGCCAACTCTTAATTATCTCATTGAATTGATGGCTCTCCATTTCAGAAAGAATCTCACAATGAATCTACATGAGAAATACTTTTCAGATTTGTGTTATTACAAGATCAATAATTTGGATAGACGTTTGGGCGCAGTTGACCAAAGAATTACTCAAGATATTGAGATTCTTTCAATGAGGATTTCTGAGCTTTTTACGGATATTTTACATCCGAGTGTGGATTTGGTGCTTTACACGAATGAATTGGTGAGATTGATGGGCTGGAGTGGTTTCGTTTCAGTTTCGGTTTACTTTTTTATTGCTGTTGGAATCTTGTCAAGAGTTTCTCCCAATTTTACTAAATTTAGTGCACAGGTTCAGAATATGGAAGGTAATTTCAGACAATTACACAATAGATGTTCGATAAATTCTGAACAAATTTCATTCTATAGTGGAGACGAAACCGAACGAAAGAAAGTTGAAGATTATTTCGACAAGTTGACAGATTATTCAAACTTTGTCATTAAGAAGAACTTCTCATTTAGTATGGTGAATGATTTCCTAACTAAATACTTCCCTCACACGTACAGTTCTTTCATTATTGGACTTCCAGCATTTTTTGGAAGATTAAGACATTTGAAAGGTGACGCTTTAATAGGAAAATTAAGATATTTGGTTGCAGTAGTAACTCTGGAATTCTATGCTCTTGGAGATCTCATTGAATTATTCAGAAATATTTTGAGATTAAGTGGACTAGCTCAGAGAGTTTCGTTGCTCTTCCAAATTATAGAAGAAATCAAAACAGGAAACTCCCAAAACATTAATTTCAGAAGGAATCACAAAGGAGAAATACTCGACTCTGATGAAATCAAATTCACCAACGTTACCATCAAAACTCCTGATGAAATTACCTTAGCAAAAAATTTGACATTTCATGTCAATAAGAAGGAACACATTGTCATTTCTGGAAGTAATGGAGCTGGAAAATCTTCACTATTCAGAGTGTTAGGATCTCTGTGGCCACTCCACGAAGGTAGCATCCACAAACCTCAAGCATGTGGAAATAATTCAAGTGGTCTTCATAAGGAAATTTTTTATCTTCCACAAAAACCTTACAATCTCGTTGGATCATTGAGAGGACAAATAATTTATCCAGAAAAGGAATATAAGGATGATTGGAATGATGGAATGATTGAGGAATTGTTGCATGACTTTGGAATTTCGTATCTGGTTTCGAGAAGTGAACACGGATTCGAAACTGTACAAGATTGGAATAGTCTTTCGAGAGGTGAACAACAGAAATTGGCTTTGGTTAGATTATTCTACCACAAACCAAAGTATGCCATTCTCGACGAGTGCACTTCCTGTATTACAGCTGACGATGAGGAAAAACTTTACAAAAAGTGCACAAAAATGGAAATTACCTGTATTACCATTTCACATAGACCAGCTCTGGAGAAATATCATAAACAGAGATTAGTTTTCGATGGAAAAGGTGGTTGGGTATGGCAAGAAATTGTAAAACCTTATGATATCAGAACAGATGAAGAACCTGTTTACAAACTCAAAGGTTTTGACAAGTTTGTGAGAGATGATATCGAAAACTAGTGTAAAATATAATGCAATCATTATAAGAATGTACATAAAAATTCATTGTAAATTATTGTAAAATTATTGAATTCATTACAATTTTGTAAAAATTATTCTTCATATTTCAAGGCAGCACTTTTCAATTCTGGAAAGACGGCAAAAACCTTAGCTAGAATATAATCACCATACTTGACAGGTGGCCATTTTGTTTTTTCCTCTTCAGTCAATGCTAATTCTTCCAATGGAGTTACAACACATTCAAAGTTTGGATCGAAAAAGAATGGAGCACTCAATCTATCTTGATTTGTGAGATTTTTAACACGATGAGGGACTGCCTTGTATCTGCCACATGTCCATCTTTCTAACATGTCACCAATATTGACAACGAATGTTTTTTCAAGTGGTGGAGCTGAAATCCATTCACCAGTTGATCTATCTTCAACCTCCAATCCTCCAACGTTATCTTGCTTGAGGAGGGTCAAGCATCCATAATCTTGATGTTTTCCAACTCCAAATCTTTCTTCTCCATTTTCGAATTTTGCATTTGGATCACTTGGATCTGAAATATTTTACAATTTGTTAAATATTTTACAAAAATTGAAACTTACAATGGAATAATCTGAATGGAATGAAAGGTTCAGAAGTAAACTTGTTTCTAAAAAAGTCTCTTCCCAATCCCAAACTTTCTCCAATTGCACTTTTTACCAAAAATAGAAAAATAGTAATTTACCATAAATTTTCAAAGTAAATATCCCATAATAATACAACTTCCAACTTACGCCATAATAGAATGACCTAATTTAGTCAACTCTTCCAAATATTTCAAGATTGTTACCTTGAAATCTGGAAAATCTTGTTCATTTGGCCATT